CATCTTACAGAAGCCTAGAAAACCTCTCGCCCTGCAGATACCAACTGCTAATTACACAACACACCAAGACTGCCAGCAAGACCATCATCACGTGGGTTACTGATATTACGCACAGGGCACAGCCTTTGAAATTCTTGGCTTCTATTAAAAAAAGACTGGCCGTCCCAGGTTTTGTAACAGTGGCCGTGTTGAAATACTGTAGTTGTGTCGCAAGAGAGGATGGATTTTAAATTGTTTCTGGGAATCTGGCAAGAACTGTGGACACCAAGCATAGTAGTCATATCATTATTTATATAGAAGAACAGGCATGACAAATACAATCACATGAGGTGTCAAAATTCGGCTTGAAACAATTCACATTCTGCCCCTACAGCCTCGCAGCATTTTGTCTTATGTGGTAAAGGGAAAGTTACAGCAGGACACCTTTGCATTGAAAATCCCTTTGAGTTTCAACTACGCCAACACCCAAGGGGGTGTGTGACTTAAAAGCACAACTGTTCGACAAAGCGTTCTGGGCTGATGCCATCAACGTCACTTGCATCTTTAATTTAACATCACAATGACAGTGCCTTATGCTGCGATTGTATACAGTACATGTACATGTGTAGTAACAGAAACCATGCAGGATTCAAGGCAAAAAATGGCGATAAATAAGGGCACTTTGCTGAAAGGCTACTGTACCTCCTCCTGCACATCATGTGCGTCAGGCCAGGAATTGGAAACATTCCATCTGCAATTCCACGGTGCACCTTAAAAACAGGAGTATTGGATTCTGGTCCTGGAGTCTCTCGTGTTTGGTTTTTTTTCCCCAACCTGAGCTCTTGGTCCGACAGCGGGTCAGGTAAATTAACGGTAGTAGTGTCCTACTTATAACCTGGCTCTGAACGTTTTGAGTCATCGTCTGTAAATGATCTTTAGTAACGTCCTGTAGGGGTCTAAGATGGTCGATTTTCTAGACACTTCATCCGTCTTGGGGTCGTTGGGGGGAGCCAGAGCCTATCCCGGCGAGCAGTGGACAGAAAATGGGGGACGCCCTGGATGGGACCCCAGTCCATCAGAGGCCACACAGACACAAACACACACACACGCACTCCCGCCAGGGCCAGCTTTTCCCAGGAGCCAGTTCCCCTACCAGCGTATCTTTGGCCTGTGGTAGGAAACCAGGGAGAACATGAACACAGGGAGAACATGCAAGCTCCACACAGACAGCACCCCCCGCCACATCCGGAACTGAACTTGGGGTTAGAGCTCTGCTACCTGACCCGAGCCCGACGGGGCCTGACAAAGTATTGGGGTTTTGGGTCGGTTTTTCATGTACGACTTCGGGCTTCGGGGCCGGGTTCGGCTTTGTTTTCGAATAACGAATTATTGTTTTACGTGTATTTTTTATTCGAAGAAATCTGTAACTCGTCTTGCGCGCTCGCTCTCTTGTGTGTCACAGAGCCTACCTAGCTCGCCGTTCGCAGTGGATGAAATGAAACGAAAACTCGCAAGGGGAGAACTTCTCGAAATGCCCCATGAGTCGGGGCCCGGCGGCAACGGCGTTTTTCTGTCTCATCAGCTCCGGCGCAACGCAGCCGAGCAAAGCACCGTAAAACCGCGTCTGTGAGAATCCCTCTCCATGCGTGCATGTGTGTCCACTCGCTCGGGGAGTGATCGGGTTCCAAATTTGGCAGTACCAGTCAGGCTCGGTCGGGTCTCAAGGTCTCGCGTACGGGATTCGATTCCGTGCCTGTGCAGACCTCTACTTGAGGTCCCAGTGCTGTCAGGCAGCGGTGCTCACCCCCGAAGTGTAAGACAATAAGTTTAATTGACCACTCAGGTTGGAAGATGCACTATCTGGACTCTAGGCCCTCCAGGAGGTGGGTTTGACACCCCTGTGTTAAAGGCCAGGTGGGAAAGAGCTCGCTGGAAGACGCAGAGGAGCCTCACTGGGAGGAGTCCAGGGGGCGAGGAGAAAACCGGCCCTACTGCACCAGCACTGCTTCCACTACTTCCTGCTTCCTGGCCCCTCCCACCCCTGGACGTACAAGTGCTTGGGTCGGGCGACACACGAAGCGTGAAACGTGCACAGCGAGGGAGAGGGCGGGGGCAGAGCTCCAGGCGGGCGTGGAGGGTGGCGCAGCCCCCCCCTCCCCCTAGCCGCGGTAGATGCGGACGCGCTGGGCGATCTCGCCGCGGCACAGCGGGCAGGAGAGCAGAACGTCGCTGCATGCCTGGCAGCAGCAGACGTGACCACAGGGCAGGAAGATGGTCTGCGACTGAGAGGGAGGGAGAGAGAGAGGGAAACACACGTCAGCCCAGACTGTATCCACCCACCTGGAGACGGAATCTCTCCCGCGATTCCTCCCAAGAGCCTTACCTCCTTCTCCATACACACCACGCACTCCGAGCTCCCATCCAGACTGGGAGCACTAGGAACCAATATTTCTGGGGACGGTGGGGGGCTGGGGACCTCTGGGGAACTGGGCACTGAGGGCTCTGCTACCTCTTCCTTTTGTGCATCTTTGTATGGGCCTGTAAGGAGAGAGCAAGAACAAAACTCTGATCTTCACGTTGCAGATTTGGTTAAAGACCAAGATGTGTCAAGTTTTCGCAGCTGTAGAGCGATCACATGGCTCGGCTTATTATTATTATTATTATTATTATTATTATTATTATTATTAGCTCGACTGACGCAACTCCCCACATGAACTACAGTATCATATGGCTATGTTACCTCACTAGAAGTTTGGTCTCCTCGTTCTCGAGTCACGGAATATGGTGCTGTGCAGACCTGGAAATTTCATCTTTTTTTTGTGATGTAAATTCGACAAGTTCCTGTGCCCATTTTACTTTTATTGTGGTGTGAAATGCACTCCTCAATGCAAACTCTTTCCTTGAAGGGGAACAGCAACGCTATTTTTCACATTTCGGGGTTATAATGAAACAGCAAAGATGAAGTACATTTCAAACCGCAATGAAACTAACAAAAGAGGCAAAGTTTGCATGCAAGTGCAGCTGCAATATTGCCTGATTGATTATTGTCTGCGCTTCAGAACGAGGCAACAAAACTGCTGATGATGATGCTAAAGCAGCCCTATTGCACTGTAAACATGCTTTTTCCCATTCAAAAGAGCAACGTGCCAGACAACTAAAATACACTCATAAGAATTCGCGTTGTTAGATCTAGATTCTTGTTTGCTTATAGCAACTAGCGAGCAGGAAGGGCGTGGCATGAACAGGGGGTTCGCCCTCTGCCTGCAACAACAGGGTGGCTATCCAGCACTTTCACAAGGTTCCACTTGATCGGGAAATGTTGTCAAATTGTGCAATACTGTCCATTTGTTTGGTTGCTGAGATCTGATCACCAGTGTGGGGGAATAGGGGCTGTAGTTCCCCTTTAAGCCCCACGTTGCTTTAAGAACTCTGCACAGAGGAGGGGGGTCAGTCCTACAGTACCTGCAGTGGGCGTTCCTGCCTGATCCTTAGCCCAGTTCAACAGTGCCTTCTGTATCCCCATTTCACTGATGCCCATCTGCACACAGGGAGAGAGAGCAGGTGACGGGAGCACTCTCAATACCACACACTGACACAGCTCCTCGCCAGACGCAATTCACTCAGCCCCACGCTCGCCCTGGTACGAGCCGTGTTTCCTGCACCCATTCGGGTGCGACATGCCCACGCGCCGCCCCTCAAGCGGATCCGCACCTTCTGCAGGTCCGCGGGGGTCATGTGGCGCAGCGTCTCCGCGGTCACGCGGTGGTGGGCCAGCAAGGGCAGGTACTGCTGGGCGGAGAGCTTGCAGAGCAGGTCCACCAGATCCTGCTCCACCCCGGCCTCCTTCGGGAGAGAGGGAGGAGCAGGAGTTAGAGAGGGGAGGGAGAGGGGGGGGGCGCGGGGGAGAAAGGGAGGAAGAGGTGGGCCTTGCCTGCATGCGGAGAGACAGCGGTTTGGCATCCAGGAGTCTCTGGTACTGGATGAGCCAGTAATTCTCCTGCGTGGCTTCGCTCTTCAGCTCCATCTCCACCTGGGACACGGGGGGGGATGGGATTAGGAAGACGTTATAGCCGGCGCCACTCCCTGCCACGTTGTGTCCATGCATGGTCCAGTTGCCCACTCTTTCCTTGAAGGCCTGCTCTAGCTCCTCTTGGACCCCAAACAGCCCCCCTCCCCCCCAGTGCCTGTGCACCACACCTGTTCTGCCTCTTCAGACCAATGCATCTTTAAAACAAGATCCCCCCTTTCAGGTCGTGCCCTGCAGTCTTAGTACTGCCTGCCAGATCCTGACATTCCCCTTGCGGTGACACGCTAATGGCCCAGTACCACTGGAGCTGCACCGGCTAAAGTTTTTAAAGATTCCCTTGCATCAGTGACCCCTGCAACTTTCCAGATTGTTGTGAGAGGGCGAGCAGCAGAAGCAGAGACACTGCTTCTGCAATGCACACTGATGTTCCCCGCAAGGCACTGCAAAGCGTGCAGGGTGTACAGCTTGACACCGTGTATCTGCTGTTCTCATTGCCCCCCTCGAGCTGAAAGGGGAACCTGCGCTAGCAACGCCAAAACTGGGCTTTGAAAGAAACATACCTGCTGATTCCAGAGGGGGGAAAACAAAAACAAAACCTTACTGATCCCGCCTCCCGTAAGCACTGGCTCCTCCCCCTCTGTAGCTCAGCCCTGCTTGTCCACAGCCCAGACTCCTCCCCCCCCCGCCACTGACCCCACCCCCTGAGCCACGAGACCCCGCCCCCTCCTCGCTCACCAGAAGCTGCCGCAGTTCGGTCTCACGCTGGTCCCTCTGCTTGAGCAGCTGCTGCAGGAGATCACTGAGCGCACTGCGCTGTTCACTCAGCACCTCCTGGGCACACAGAGACAGACAGGTCACAGGCGGGGCCCACATGGGCCAATGAAAACATTAGGACACAAGAGTCTACAACATGAGGAGGCCGCAGGGCCTGTTTTGGTAAGGTTAGTAGCTATATGATCCCAGGATCACATCCAGCTGTTTCTTGAAGAAAGCCAGGGTCCCAGCTTCAACCACAGGGCTAGGCAGCTTGTTCCTGACTCCCACAATCCATTCCATACTCCCATGATCCCACAAACACACACAGATACAGACAGAGCTAGAGAGTGAGAAAGGGGTGTGTCCGTACTGAACAAGAGGGATAGATCAAACCGGGCAAGTCTGTCTCTGGGTTCAGGGGACAGTGTTACACTGGGGGAGTGTGTTCTCTTGTGTCCTAGTCAGGTATCACTCTGCAGAGATGATCAACTCTTACAGTTATGGTTCACTGCTAGAAAGG